TGGAAATCTCCTATAAAATTCTAGCAGGACTAGATAAGGGAGCATTCTCCCCCTACTTATCATAAGACTGGGGAGTCTAGAACCAGGGGTCCAGTTTAAGGATACTGAATAGGCCATTTAGGACTGAAGTGGAGAAATTTCTCCACCTGCTGGGGAGGGTTGCTGAACAAAAAGACTTTGGAGTGCAGCTTCATAGTTCCTTGAAAGTGAAATCCCAGGTAGACAGGATAGTGAGGTAGGTGTTTGATATGCTTGCTTTTATTGGTAAGAACACTGAGTATAGGAGTTGGAATGTCATTTTGTGGCTGTACAGGACATTGGTTAGGCCACTTTTGGAATACTGCATGCAGTTCTCGTCTCCCTGCTAAGGAAGGATGTTGTGAAACTTGAAAGGGTTCAGAAAAGATTTGGAAGGATGTTGCCAGGGTTGGAGGGTTTGAGCTAACCGGGAGAGGCTGAATAGGCTGGGGCTATTTTCCCTGAAACGTTGGAGCCTGAAGGCTGACCTTGTAGAGGTTTATAAAATCATGAGGGACATGGATAGGGTGAATAGCCAAGGTCTTTTCCCCAGGGTAGGAGAACCCAAAACCAGAGGGCTTAGGTTTAAGCTGAGAGGACAAAGATTTAGAAGGGATCTAAGGGGCCGTTTTTTTCACGCTGAGGGTGGTACACATATGAAGTGAGCTGCCAGAGGAATTGGTGGAGTCTGGTACAATTACGACATTAAAGCATCTGGATGGATATCTGAATAGGAAGGGTTTGGAGGGATATGAACCAAATGCTGGCGAATGGGACTAAATTAATGTAGGATATCTGGTTGGCATGGACGAGTTGGACCGATGGATCTGTTTGCACTGGGTGCAATTCTACTCGGCCTGTGGAGTTCTCTGCCACAGAAAATGATTAAGTCCAAAACCTATTTTTCAAGGAGGATTTGAAAGTTTGTAGGGCTGAAAGCATCAAAGACTAAAGGATAAAGCAGGAAGATGGCACTGAATTAGATGATGAGCAGCAATCACATTGAATAGCAGAGCAGGCTTAAAGGACTGAATGGCCTATTGTTTTTTTTATCTGAAGCAGATAAACCTTCAACTTTATATGTCTCCTGTCAAAATGTCCTAGGAATGAAAGGGGTAGGATTTTTATGGCCCTGTTGATCTGAAATTGCTTTGCAGTGTCCTTTTTTTTTGAGCCTATAATTGTTGTCTTAGTCCAGTTGTTTAGCAGTGAACTCCAGCCTTGATCTTGGTTTGCTGTTGGTACTTTTTCAAAATCAAGTTGAAACAAAATTTACTTGATCTGTTCCCCCATTAAATTTTTTGAGGGTTGTACATAGTGTGCCACAAGATCAACTAAATGAAAAGTGCTGTTAATATTAGAACACAGTCAAAAATCTACCCAAAGGATTGTGTGTTAATATACAAAGTTGTGTATTCGGCCAACTTGTATTCTTGGGTGGTGGCTGTGACCAAATGCATTATTGACATAGGGAACCTACTGATTCAACAACTTCCTGGTTTTAAACCTCTTCCTAGCCGTCAACTGGAAACATCATTACTGTATAATGCGTAATGTAATCTGGATGTGCTGCCTAGACACTCTCTGACATGTGTTTCTATTTGTGAAGCTGGTTGTAGGTCTAAAATTCTCATTCTTGGAAACAAAACATTAATTGGATGTTCATAGGTTATTTTACAGCTTGTTTAAAGGCAGGCAGCTTCTAATGTGCTTCTCTGGACTTCTTTCTGTTCTGCACCTTCAGTGCTTTGGGGAAAAAAATACATTTGGTGCACACTCACTTTTTTTTCTTTTGCCCACAGGACTCATAGAATCACCATCACTAACTTCTGTCTTGGAAAGCATCTAGTTAGTGAGGATGATTTACTGAAAGATCAGCGGGGGAGCCCTGCCTACATTAGCCCTGATGTTCTGAGTGGTGAGTTCCCAATTCTGTCTGATGACTATAAACTGTTGGCAGGGGAGTGGGCAGTTTGCCGTGTTAAGGCTGCCTGTATTCTGAATCAGTGTTTATTGAGTACAGTAATATGAGACAGGAAAACCTTCTCCAGTCTCAACACCCACTATTTTTTCCTGTTGTTCAATCATTCCAGCTTCCAGTGAGGTGTTTCTTCTGTACTGTAATCATATTTATCATCCAGATGCTCCAACAAATGGCGTAACAGCCACAGGAGAATGTGAGAAAGAACAAATAATTTTTTTTTTCTTTTGAAAAGAGATCTTCATTCTAGTTCAGTTACGAATATTCAAATTGTTTCAGTTCTTGTAGAGGCCTGTGACTCTTCAAAAGAGATTTGAATTTCGTGTTGAAATCCTGTTATTCTTTCATGTTTTAAAACCAGTACTGACTAAAAGTACTAATGACGAAAAACATTTACTTTTTAACAAACTTATTTTTACGCACTCTTCGCAGAATTACATTCCTGACAGCAAACAGTCCAGGCCAGCTTTCAGCGAGTTCCTATAACTTCACTTTGCTGAGTAGTAATTTTGAATGACTATCCCGAGGTGCTTTTGTCAGTTTTGGCAACACTTATTAAATCCCTGGCCATCAGTAAATCTATTGCTGCTCCTTCTTTCTTTCAGCTTTCCAGGACAGATTTCACTGAATCTTTTAGGTGTCCACTGAATGCATCGCTTCAACTAGTCTCCTTGTTGCACCCGGATGCTATAGCTTGCAAAATCTCACGAGTTCTCTCTCCTGACCTCATGGAAGTAGTCATTGATGTTCTTTGGTTTCGTGGGAAGTTTGTAAGCCAATACAAAGCTAACTGACTTCCCTTGCCCACTTCCTCATTGGCCATGTGAAACATATGAACTTCTATCCAGCAAAAAAACTGCTGATTTAGCTTGTCTCATCCTCAACTCCTTTCTTTTTTGAAATAAATAGACAATTTAGAATGCAACTGTTTGAAACCTGATACCTATAACCTTTTTCGGGGCTTTGAGAGTTTTTTTAAAACTCATGATCTGCAACTATTGTCATGCAATGTAATGCTTTGCACAACCTTCTCCATAAAATGAGCCTTCCTTTTGATCCTATCAAACCACCAGACTTGGTGTCAGGCAGACTTCAGAGCAGGTCACATGACTCGTGTTTGAAAAGTCAGGAAAGTGGGGAATGGAGAGGACGAACAAGATTCTGTGCAACTTGGCCCCGGTTTAAATCAAAAGGGTCAGTAATTGTGGTCTGGCCTTTTTTTTTAGAAAGCCCAAATAGCTTGATGATATAGTTATGTTACTGAGCGGAAAGGAGGGGGTTGTGAAGTGGGACTGCTCAGTGAGTTATGAGTTTGGAAAGAGCTTAGGCATGAGTGTACCAACCACACTGAAGTTATCTCAACATTTCAGTATTCAGTTATTTGCTACAATTGCATTGGTTGGTGGTGTTGGCAATAATAGAAGATAAATGTGGGAAAAACGAATGTTTATATTCAACAGAAGTCTAATTATTCTATCTACTTGAAGTGGCCAAGAGGTATTTGCATTTTGCTGTAGGTCTGCAGAAGTGCAATAATTACATGATTCTTTGTCACAGATGTGTTTCAGGTCTTTTGTCGTACCTCTGGGTAATCCAGAGGTTCAGAGACGGAACCTTGTCATGAAATTTTAAATTCTGTTAATTTAGTCTGGAATCAAGTGCTTGTTACATTAATGATCATGAAATTGTTGAATTATTATTAAACCTACCTTGTTCACTCATGTCATTCAGAGATGAAAATCTGCTGTCTTTATCCAACGTAGTCAGTATGTGACTTCATGGTCACAGCAGTGCTTGACTTTTAATTGCCTCTGAAAAAGACCCAGCAAGTTATGGAAGGTCAAGGATGGGCAATAAAATGCGGGCCTTGCCAGCAAGTGCAAGAGCCAGGAATGAATAAAAAAGTGAGGGGATATTGCAGTTGAAGTTGATTTCAGCTTATATTTTGACACCTGCATCTGTGCAGTTTCCACCATTGAATCATAGGTAAGTGACCAGAAGGTGGAGCTAGGCTGCTTCTCTTCCACAAATGCTGAAGCCAGTTGTAGCACCTCAGGTTGTGTCCAGCTAATAGTTCGTTGGATAAAGTGGGAATTAAATCTGGGATTTTCTGATTGTTTGAGCTATTTGTTCTTTTATCATGTGTTTCTCGGTATGGCAGTGTTGCTGCCAAAGTTGAATTATCTCCCATCTGTGTCCAAAAAGGTTTGCAGTGCAATGCCTTGAAGTGATTTTATTGTGGCTGAATGCATTGCTGGGCACTCGAGTCAACTGTACAGTTTGGGGCTAGTGTCACATGTATGACTGATCGGGTTGTAGTACCATGTTTGTTGTCTTGTCCACCAGTATTCTGCCTGAAATTGGCAGTTTGCATGCTTTGTCTTGTTCACCATGACAGGAACTGAGGTGTGCATATTTCTGATACGATACTGTTGCTGCAACCCCTCCAGCTGCCTCCTGCTTACAGTTGTTACCAATCTTAATTCTGCAATCTTGCAAGTAGCAGTCACTTTAATTAGAGATTGATTTGTATTCTGTGTACCTGACGTGATGTAAATTCTGATAGGGTTTCAACCAAGTCCCAAAGAAGTGAAATCAAATTCTTCTGGTACGAGTCTGTTGAATTTGTCTTAGCAAAAACTTTTCAGCTAACTGTCTTAATGATGTGTTTACGCTGGTCAAATAGCAGCAGTAAGTTTTTTTGTTTTTATTGCATTACTAATATTTTTGAATTGTCAGCAGTTTCCCTTCTTTACAAAGCTTTTATCCATTTTTATTTTCCTCATCAGCCTCAAAAGCACTTAACTCCTGTTTTGTGTTCTGATAATGCTACATTTCCTTTCTAAATTATTTAGAGGAAATTGTGTGGTTAATATTTGAATTGTGGCTGCTCTGTATTCTTTCTCTACTCCATTTCTTTCCTCCTGTGCTGAATATGTTTGCTCAAGATTTCAAACTGGTTTCCTAAGGGACAGTACCTCATCAAGGCCTTAATAGTAAGTAGGAAGACATCACAGCCAACACCTGATACTTACCCACATGGGGGCTTTAGGGAGCAGGAATTGTTCTTGTTTTCTTTTGCCCTGACTGAACCCTGTCACCTAAGGCAACTTTTTTGAATGCCTTGCCACATTGGGTGAAATTAATAAATCAAGTAAAGGCCAGGGTTTGAATTTTGCACCTTCAGCTCTGTGGCTGAGTATTGCATTAGTAAATTTACTAATTAAGCAGTATGAGAATTTTCATGTTTGGATGAGAGTGTCTGAGGGTTTATCACAATTTGTGTGTTTACTTGGCAATTTTGGGGCTATTAGATGTGTAACTATAGTTGTGTACATTTTTAAGATTTTAAAAGTTTATTTGTCTCAGGCAAAAGAGCTGCAATCAGGTTAATCGCTCTGCAACCTTGCAAAGCAAATTAAACCTCAGTAACCTGAACAAGAAGTTTAGGTTTCAAACCTATCAGCAAGTGTTGTGTACGGTAACACCAAACCTTGAGCATAGTATCTCAGAATAAGTCAGCTGGAAATGGGTGTTTCCAGTTCATTATCTACTTGCTCAGTTGTGACTCCAAAGTGGTGCCGTGCATTCACAAATTTTAGAGAAACGTGACAGTAGTTGCTGTCTGAATTGTTGATAGCCACCAAAGTCATTTTCCCATAAATAAATGTGGGAAATCCATTCAGTTGGTGAGTATATGATATCAAACACATGCAGTTGTTGACTAAATTGTTTGTTGAAATAGCCTAGGAAGCCACTTGGTTGTCTAAAGACATACCAAGAAATGTTGGCCTCACCAGCAACACTCTCTCATTTGAGAGTGAAAATTTAAACACAAAATCTATCAAGAACCAGCTGTTAACTAACTGAATAATCAATTTTCTATAAACTAGTTAGGTGTCAAAAGCTGACATAATGGCTCTGTGGTTGTGACAGATGGGATTTGAATGAGTAGCTTAATAACTGAGGTACAGCTTCTGAATGTAGCAAATTGTTGTGATAACATTTCCTTATCTTTCATAAACCAAGATGTGTCAAGTGCGTGCTAGAAAACTGTTTTCTGCGGTGCATGTGTCAAATTACACAATTTCCTACGAAATAGTTGGGATGCCAAGAAAAGCAGTTGTAATATTGGACACCTAGTGATCATTGGTCAGTTTCATTTGGATTATCTGTGTGCTGTAGCACTGATTCCCATGTCCTTCGCTGACAGAACTCCTGTAATATAATGTACCATGTGTCCCTTGTTACTCCCACTGTTAGATTTGGTTTTCGTTTTCTCTGCATCCAATATTTGAGTTATGCTTGTTGGAATTTGCATCGGAATAATCTGATAATTTGTCAGGCCAACAAAGCCACTTGAGACTGACCATGGATATTGGCTGTTGGAAGGATTAGGGTTGGATATTTATTGTTGGGAAGGCAGTATGGCAGAACAAAGGATCGCAAAATTCACACTATTGTCTCAGCCCCATTAAGTGGCTGAACATGTGGCTTTGGGTCAGTATGTGAAAAATCTGATAGAAATCATGTACAAGTGCTTAATGTTTTGGATCGGGAGATATTAGTCAGATTGAGGCCGTTGAAGGAAAGAAACCTTGAGTGGCTGCAGTTATAGTTGTCACAGAGGAAGATGGTTGTGGCTATTGGAGGCTGCTCACTGCGGTTCAAGAACATTGCTGTCGAGGTTACTAGAAGCAAACTTGATCTGCCCATCTTGAGTTGTCTCATCAAAGGGTCCCTTTTCATTAACTGAAGCTGTTTGTTTATTTGTTCCAGCCTCTGCTAAAGCAACTCATGTCGTCATGTGCAGGATACAACCCACATCAAGCTTGTAACTGCATTGGTTAGTCCCACCTCCACAATCTTCATGGCACCAGTATTTTTCCCCTACCATCAACAACATGGTGTTGCCATTGACCAATAAGTTAACTGGG